AATGCAAAATATATTGTGTTCTTCTCAGTACCTGCACCTAGCTTTTATTAAAATCAAATTGCAGACCTGACTGTTCACCCAAGTGTAAAATAGGGGTCAGTAATTATTGCTGTCATTTGATTTCAACATACTGATCACACAATGACAAAATGAAGTATAAGGTTCTAAAAATATGGATGAAGGGAAAGCCACTGAACCATGCCAGGCCGGCCGGTTTAATGTTAACAATATTCCTGAGAGGGTCACCATCATGTATTACTTAAATCATTACGTTAATTACGGCAAAAACAGCCACATAGTCTGGCGGGCTAATTTTTTTTATGTTGGTTCCCTTTTAAAAAGACCACAATTTCCTTCAGAAAAGAATATAAATAGCAAATTATTTTTGTCTCCACTTCCCTTTTAACATAACAGGAAATTAATGTCTCCTTTGTGGTCCGCTTTGAGCGCATGATTGAAACGTGGTCTTTAAAAAAATTATAAATAAATATTTCATAACCAATTATATTATTTCCAACAGTGATATCACTGTGATATTTTAACGGTTGCTGACAAGTATATTCTCAAGAAAGTTACGTCAAACCCGAAACTTGAGAACCAAATAGGAAACAGGTGAAGCGTGTTACAGTATTACATCACAGTACAAGCGCAACCTTTGAGGTCACTTCTTCTTGAAGACGTTGGTGGTCTTAATCCGCTAATAATTGCTTCATCAAAAACGGATTTCAAGTTCTTCTGAGTTACTGCTGAAGTTTCAATATAGCAAACGACCCCTGCCTTCTTGACTAGGCTCTCGGCTTTCTGCGGCGTAATAGGTCCTTGTCCAAGGTCAGAAAGGCGTATTAGTTCTTGAACGTTCGCTCTCAAATCACAGTGTGTTCCTACAAGGATGACAGGAACATTTGACGAATAGCCACGTATTTCAGGGAGCCATTTTTGTGCAACATTTGCGAAAGATGTCGGCGAAACCACGGAAAAGCAAACAATAAAAACGTCTGTTGATGGATAACAGAGCGGCCGGAGAGAGTCAAAGTCCTCCTTAAATTTGCAAAATAAACAATATAATATTCAACATAACAACTAGATAGCGCATGCAAATTAAGACACTTTTGCAATGTAAACAAACTGTTTTAAACTTTGTGTTCTTTCAAGACGAGGCAATTACATCGCGCTCCTTGAGACTTGTGTGAGGTAACTTTGATCGGCATATTTCTTAACTTCGTTCAATTGCTAGCTTAATTGAGCATTAAATCAATATACAACGAAAGAATATGTTTCATTGAACCGAAACGGTTTGATAAATTATTAAAAAAGAAACACATTGCTTACTGTGCTAGTAATTAAACCCCTGTCACGAACCATGAATTCACAAGGCATTTTACAAATTTTAACACAGTCTTTTATTTACTTAATTTTATTGCAAATAGAAGAATTACGACATAAATGCAACAGATCTCAGGGAAAGTAAAATCGAAATAAATAATTTCGAAACAAAAGCGACTTACCTGTCCTGCAGTATCGCAGAATTGCAGTGAATAAGGCACCTTATCGACTTTTACCGACACTGAAATAACAACAAAATAAATAATGAATGGCACGAGAATTCTCTTCACCGCAGAAACATGGCCATCAAGAACTCATTCGTAACCTCGACCTACCACTGTAGTCGTCAAAAGCCGTCGGAATATAATCGTTGGGAAATCCGTTCATAAGGTAGCTTATAAGCAAGGAAGTTTTACCAACTCCGCCGTCTCCCACGATCACACATTTAATGACACGGCTCTCGGATTCTTCCATGAGTAATTTTCTCTCATTGCTCTCCATTTCGAACGCGCAGCCGGTTACATGCGTGTCGTGAAAATATATTGTTGATTCCTTATTCAGCGAAAACGGTTTAAATATAAGGAAACTACATCAGAATTCAAAGGTTGCGTTCGTGGTAAGTCGGGAGCTAGCGGAAGTGATGTCATTATTGACATTGAGGTTTTGATTGGCTAGTTGAAGATAAAGATAATTCTTGGTTTCCGGTGTTGTTTTAACCTTTTTCCTCGAGGAGATAGTCAGCTTGAAAACAAGTCGAAACAGGGTTTTTGTTTGAATTTAAAACAACTTCAATACTTATCTTTTAAATGAGATAAAAAGCGTATTATATTCAAATATTCGACTGTGAGAGTGCAGAGAGGAATGGTCAAATTGTCCATTGAAGCTTTTTACTAAGAGGGGGAACATTTATGCAAAACAGAAGTTACCTGAGAAACGAATAGCCTTGATTGATTGCTTGCCGACATGCCGTCGGAGCTAAGAAAACCACACAATAAGACCACGTGCCACGCGTGCGAAAATGAAAAACAAGATTTCTATTGTGCTACAGGCAAAACATCCCAGACATTTTTCTTGTGGAAAAAATTATATGCGCTCAAATACATTTTAACAGGACTTAACTGAATCTTGATTTCGCCCTCTACACATAATGACATTTCAATCGAGAAGGGCACTATGCGCGGCAACTTACCTCTTCCCTATGCGGTAAAAAAGTAGACATTTCCAACATGCATGCAGGGAATAAGCTTTGCAGCAAATCGATGTACATTTAATACACGCACCAGTAGTTGCGTTCTTGGTTTCGAACGAACTGGAAAATAAAGAAATCACATTGAGCTTGGCGAGTCTCAAGCGAGAAGCTTGATAAGATAAAAATTCTTAAAGAAAAATCAATCGGTTGGCTAGCAATCCTGATTTTTTTTTATCAAAGAAACCTGCTAAATGGCATTGAAAGTAAGTGATTTCCATTCAACCGGTCTAACGACCTTGACCCAATAAAATATTCCCTCGAGGGCAAAAAGGTTGTAAACAACCGGCTTAACTATTTCGACTGTCCCAAACTACCTTTTCTTGATGGTAAAAAACAAACTTAACTCTCTGATGTTTTTTATCACTTTCAGTGGAACCTTCAAAGATACTGACATTCATTTCACCCAGATTCCACGTAAATGGCCTTTCGGAAGCCCTACTTCAAACCGTGACGTTGGCGAAATCTGTTATCTTTCGTAAGCCAATTAATAACCCAATCCTAAAATCTTATTGCTAATCCGTACTTTTCATTAGATACTTGTATAAGCTTATAAAGAGAAAATCTTAGCTTATTATGCCCTAACTGAATCAACTCCAAGGAAGTGGGCTTCACAAACACTGATTTACTCTCCTGCGAGACAAAACTTGTTTCCGGGCTTTCATTTAATAACTTATGGCAGATTATTTTTGCCTCCGCAAATCATGAATATTTCCAAGTGATAAATTAAGTCTGATGTCCAGACTCAATGCGACTGGTAAACTAACTTATAAATAAAGGGAATAGGTCCCTAAAGAAACTACGGTGCTGCGTTAGGGGGAGTATAACGAGATAATTTTGGTTTTATCAACTGAGTTGATAAAGTAAATTGGCCACCGTAAAGAGTTTCAAAGCTGACGTTTCGAGCGTTAGCCCTTCGTCGGAGCGAAAGGCGACGAAACATTCTGACGAAGGGCTAACGCTCAGTTGATGAAACCAAATTATCTTGATAAACTTTCTAGGTTCATTTTCAATTTTATTCCAATTTTTGTTTCTCCTTTATGTCAACTTCTGATTTAGCGTCCCAGATAAAAATATGTTTTACTGTAAGTGATATAGACAATTTCTGTCGGCCTATGATACCAAACAGTTGGTGTACCGTTTTCTTCCTCTTTGGCTGAAATACGTAGACAATACAAACATGTTTCTGCAGCTTGGGAGACATGAAATTAACTCAATTCAGAATTGTCAAACTGTCACCTCCAACAGTTTTAACGCCTTTTGAAAAACATGTCGGAGTCTTCTTTGGATTTTTAGAAGTTTAAAAGTTCATGACCTTTAGATTTTAGAAGTTCATGCAAATACGATCGTATTTTCTACCTTTATTAAACGCAACTCAAAAGTTTTGACTCGAATTTATCGACTCTTACTAATAGTTCAATTTACCGACTCAATCTAACTGGAACAACAAAAAATTGTCTTTATTTTCGCGGCTGCATTCAGTTAGTGGCAAACGACTAGAAACCAATTTAAACATACTAATTAATTAGTAATTAATGGTGCGAAACTGCACAAAGCGGGAACTGATCTATCACTACGAAAGGCATGAATCTTACAAAGCTGTTGTGACAAACTGACTTCTTTATTTAATGGGCTGGCCAAACCCGGAAAAGAGGGCCCAATCTGCTTATTTCTATCGAAGACCCAACTGTTCAGCATTTAGATATGCAACGCAGAACTTTTCAGACACGCTAATATTGACTGATTTTAAAAGACAGACAACCCGTTGAAACCGAGTCAAAAGCATACCTATATCTTTTAAAGCCAACCTTTTAAACAACCATCTTCCCTCACGCACCTCCCAAATCAAATCGTCGTAAAGAAGAAAAGAAAATACGGTACAATACGGTATTATTTCCTCTTGTCCGAATGCAGCGCATGTGCTAAGACGGGCATTAATCAGGAAACTAGAGTTTGTTACTAGGTGTGTCTTTATTACGTTTCGATAAGGTACGTGACTGAGTAAGTAAATGACTTGGTTTTGATTTAATTGCCTTGATTAAGGATGGCCTGTTTGGGTAGAGTCGCGTAAAGGACACGACCCGATCTTATTCTTCTACGCGACTCGACCCAATTTCCCACGGTTTTTTTTCTTTTTTTTTTTTGCACCGCCGCTGCTCTGGTGCCGTTTACAATGTTAGCTCCGTTTCATTAACTGAATGCCTGGAACAGGGAGACGACAGAGTTTGTAAAACTTCCTTGCCTATAAACTATCTGATGAACGGATTTCTCTCGTACTTGAAAAGCATAGCTATAACTTAGATTTTGTTAACATAGCTGAAAAATTAATTCAAATCAAAAATTACCTTTGAAACAACACTCCTCCATCACGCACCTCCCAGACAAAATGGTCATAAAAAAAAAAACAGCAACAAAAAAAAAAATTAAGTAAAGTATGAGCTTCCCGTTATTACCTGAACGCCAGCAACAGGCTACGTACTCTCGTACTTGGGTAGCTTAGCTGTAACACTGATTTTGTATGACACAGCTGAGAAACTAATTCATATTAAGACTTTTTTGTTTTCTCAAAACAAAGGAAAATGTGTAGAGTGTCGTCTGGTTTAAGTTTTGCATCTAATTGGTTGAAAACATGGCAACGTGAAGTTTCCCAAACAAGTATGGTTTAACACGAATTTTTTAAAAGTTTTCTTCATCGCTGAATAACGTATCGAAATGTGCCGCATATTGAATTCAGTATAAGTTCAATAGACATCATTGAATGAGGAAACTCTTGGGAAAAAGTTATTGCAAATAAATTCCGCAAGTTTAATAATTTGTTAAATTTCTAGTTCATTTAATTTAAAAGAGGAATCAATCTACTTTCTCCGTTTCTATTACACTTCGTACATAAATGTTGGTAAATGAAGGTAAAACGCTTAACCAACTAACTGTTCTCTTTTGGCTCTAATTAATCCACATTTAAATTGTGGCCATTATTGAGATGCGATTCTCCTAACCAGTTCGAGACCAAGTTGTACACAAGGAAAAGAACTGCGTTGTGTGGAAACGCTCGTAGTAAGCATGGTCCTAGGCCCGCGTAAAAACTTTTCAAGCCTCCTGCCCTGTACGTTTGAAGAAAACAATCCGCAGTTCCTTTGTAGATAAAAAGTCCTTTATTCCCATCTGCCTGCATACGAGACTTAATGCCGTCAAACGGAAAAGTGGAGAACCAGCTTATCATTCCAGCAAGGCCTCCAGCGAACACTGTAACCAGCGGTTGCATGTCAGTGCGTGACTTTTTTTGTGAGAGCGCATCCAGAAGGATCTCGTATGATGCAAAGTAAACGGCAAAGCCCGGGATATCCCGGAAAACAAGAGGTGTAGCTCCTTGGAAAAATCCCCTGCTACCGGCCGTCTTGTAAATCTTGCGGATGCAATCTAGAGCTCCGCGATAGTGCGAAGATTTCCCATGCTTTCCTAACGAAACTATAGCAAAACGCTTGTCATAATTTTGAAACAAAAGCAAAAACATGACTTAGCTCGTTATATATATCAATATTGGCATACTGCCTGAATTGCTGAAATGAAATCTCTGCTCGATCTAAACCTTTTATTCCCAGAAGTGATTAACATGTAAGTTCTGATGGTGACTCTGAATGCTATTCGTCAACAGTTAATAAGAGCAGATATGATATTCAGCTAACGGATGTAATCTTAGCGTAAAACCAAATTCTCTTGTCTAACTGCAAGGAGCTGTATAGCAGTCAGTCGGAAGGAAAGCTAATTGGATCTTGGGTGATAAAGGGTTAAGTCGAACTTCATCATGTCGAGCAAGTTCCTCTGAACACTTTTCCCATCCCCGACATGACTTTTCATCAAAGACATGAGTACAATTCCACAAGTTTCCGCCTTACCATTCTTAGCAGTTCTCAAGTTGCAAATAAAGATTGAAAGTAAAAACGCGCCAAGTGTCTAAAGCGCTGGAAAACGCAGGAGATCAGGTCGCGATTGGCTAACGTTAAGCATTTGATTGTATGAGATAAATGACGTAAATTTCTTGACCAATCAAAAAGCGAGCTTAAGCAAAACTATTTAAAAATTAATTTCGACAACGATTTGAAAATAACTCAACTAGCTTGTACCTTCGGTTTGCATCTGTAGTTTGATCTTGATAAGTTCCATAGGACTCACCACCCAGAGCTGAGCGGCTCCCGAGGCAGCCGCGGCCACACAGACGTGAGACAGCGCTGGCTTGTCCCCCTTCTCGGATGAGAACATTTTCAGTACATTACCATATACTCCAAATAAAATGGCGTTCTGCAGGGCCACAGCAGCAAGAGGAGGTGCCATGCCTTTGAACAAACCGAATACCTAACATGGATCAAGATAAGATCGAGTAGGAAAGTAGAAAGGAAAGAGGAAAAACGTAACCCCTAAGGAAAACAAGAGATATACGGCAATCACCAGGACAATGCCTATGAGGACGTCTATTAATACACTTAAGCATATGACCTGCGGTGTTATTTAAGGATTTCCCGCCCTATGAAAAGGTGCCAACTGCACATGTGTAAAAAATTATGATAATTTTTTTAACGTGTGTTAGATATCACCAATCATCTACGGACACGTCACTCACTGACTTATGGCATAAAACAGAGCGAAATACTGAACGGCGCAAAAGCAGCGGTAGAGCAAAAACGAGGAAAGCCCAGGCCGGGTGACGTTGAGAATTTAACACGATTCAACCCAAACCTTTCTGTTTTTTAATTTCACTCCTCCGCTCTCATCGCGCTCTTAGATGCTTGAATAAGACTTGAAGAGAATATTCAATGAAGCTCTCACCGTTTCATGTTTGATGATATTGTAAAAACAGGATAACGATGTGGTGACAGCTGGTTTTCTTCCTGAAGAGAGAACTTGCATTCTCACCTATGAATAATATGAGGTCCATTATATATTTTTGAAATAGCTGTAGAAATTCTAGTGATCTCGCGCGCTCATTGGTCGAGAGTCATTGTCAATAAGGTTTTATAAGATAAGTTCAATTTTACAAGCATTTTGATTTCTTATTTAAGATCTGTTAGAGGAAAACCGAATCGCTGACAATGCAGGAGATTTCCACCACCCTCCCCAGCTCTTAGCATAACGCCATATTGAACTGTGCCGTGGGGTATGGAACCCATGGAAACTGTGTTTCTCGCCTTACATTTACATTTGCGTTTGCGTTACCCCAGTTCACACGTGTGGGAAGCGAACGCAAACGCAACTAAAAGTGCAAGAAAATATATTTTTTTCCATTTCTTACGTTGACGCTTACGTTCGCGCTTGCATTCCAATTGCATTTAGGTAGTTCACACAAACATTTCCATGCATTTACATTTGTGTTACATTTGCATCGCACGTGTGAATCAGGCATTAGTTACTCTATCGGAATCGCGAAGGCTAATTAAAGTTCAAAAAGGCCACAATGTTAATACTTATTAGCCTGGATAGGCCCAAGGTTGAACACGCGTTTCGCTCACCTTCACAGTATCCAACGGTTGTGTGACAATCACTCCAGCGCATCCTGCAGTTTAGGAAAGAAATATAGGAAAAAAGAAGGGTAATGTGGTAAACCCGTCGTATTCGATATGTACAATAGGACGATGCTATACGTGGTATGATAAACATCGCTGGCGTGCGCTTTCATATTTGAAGCTTCTGCGATAAACGAGTCACTCTTTTAGTCACAATTTCTCAATTCTCTGCTTAACTAACAGCCGTCGCGTGATCAGAGTTCTTGAATACGTCAAAAGCCATAACATTTCATTATTTTTGCCGCGTGCTAGGCACATGCTAAACGCAACCAACTATCACCCGTACTTTCAGCGCGTAAAGAATGGTGACAGGTTGGATGGAGTCCAAGTCGATTATACCAGACTTAAAATGCAAATCTCGACCAGAAAACGTACAACACGCATAAAAAATCTCGCCTCGTGTGAATATTAGGGAGTTTAAGATGTCACTACGGCGACAGCGACGTGTGGTAATATGTTACTGAAAAAACGTAATTTATTTTCCTCTAAGATTTTCACCAATAGTTCGATCCGTTTCTGACGGTGCGACATCTTCACTTCGGCATAACATGTGAATGTGGTGTCAAGTTCAAAGTAAAAATGGGACAAGATTCAGTTTTTAGATTCGGTTTTTGTTGATGTTTAGAATAATCAAGGCCTCAGTAAGGCATAGGATAACATATAGACTTTTTAAGACCATTTTTTGGGACCACTTTATCGGGAGGGGGTGGGTGGAGATAGACCTCTAGTATTCAGGCGGGGGTGGGATACTATCTATGACTACTCAGGAAAAGGTAGGAGGCAGACTGTTGTTGCTCAGGGAGGGAAGATTGCTTTCAACGATTGTACCAACAATGTTTTCATAGTAGAGGTGTAAACGTTGAAATTGCAATAGTGCTGGTGAATACCATGCCGCTAAATTAAAGGCTAAGGACCGGAAATTTCGCGATCTCATTTTTCAATTAAGATCAATGACAAAAGGTAGATGGAAAAAATTTAGTAATGATATACTGAAAGGGAAACGTTAAGCAACTGGTGGATGATTCGTGATAACCAGTGAGTATTATTTAGCACTGGAACGAGTCAACTTAAAAGGCACATGCGTGACTCAAGAGTGGATGATAGAAAACGGGAATTGGCGATATTTTCAATAACAATTATAGTCCAGTGTTCAGATGCCAGCTTTGCATTCGCATGACAAAAAAAATAAAGAAACGCCACCACTAAGCGCAAAAATTTTAAAATAAGAAATAGCCAGTCGGAAAACCACTCAAAATAATTTGTATGATCCAGTAAAAAAAAAAAAAAAAGAACATTCATCATTAGCATTTGTTGATACAACTTCTCCCCACCCCTCCCTGCGTATTAGCGGTTCGTCTTCTTCCCCTCCCTGTAACAAGAGTCTGCCTCCCACCCTCCCTGATTACTGATAGACTCATCCCACCCCTCCCTAAGTACTGACGGTCTGCCTACCCCCAATAAAATGGTACAAAAAAAGAGGGTCCAGAGGATGTTCCAAAAATTGGTCCCAAAAAAATAGTCCGATAGTCCAGGAGTCCAGGGGTCCAATGGTCCATTCTTGCTTTTGTCCTTTAACGTCTCGGTAACGCATGGTTTTTAACTTCGGCCTTCGATCGGCTTTGGCTGCTAACCCCTACCTCGACCCCAATTATTCTGGAACAATATAATATTTTTTTCTTATTTGATCATTAGTTTGGTCAAATTTCCGCACAGCCCTATACTATTGTAAAACAGATCTGTTTTCCCAATGGCAATGTATTGTATTTGTCATTGTTTTCTCTATCCAAGAACTGAATGCATAATGTAATATGGGGCTGTGCGGAGATTTTATCATTAGCTTCGCTACGTTCTCATTAAATCTTTTGTTTCGCTACGTTCTCAAGGTCGTCATCGTCGTAGTGGTTTCCTTACAGTTCCTTTATATCAAAGCAACTGTCGACGGAGAGGTTTCGTGGACGAATTTACATCAAGCCTCGCTGATTTATATCAATAATACAAAGTAATTACTTCCCGGGGTCTGTTCGATTCTTTACTCCATACAAAGTGGGTTTGAGTAAAATAAATAATTTTCCCTTGATTTACCTGCGCACCAACCGGCAATGAATTCACGTCCGACCTCCATCTCTCAGCATTTGAATAAATAATATGTGACAATAAGATGCTTCCAACGTAAAAGGACTGGTTTCTAACGTCTGGAATGCCTGGAGCAATATTTGACGATGGTCGACATGGCAAAAGTAAGTGCGCTTTGATTGCAATCTTCTATCCTTCTTGCGACGAAAACACCTTCTTTGATTCTATAGACAAAATATGAAAATTAAGTTATGGCTAAGTTCGACTAGTATCGATGCCATCTTTTTCTTTTTCAATCAAAAACTCGCCTATAACATTTAACGGCGGAGCTCGCAGCGCGCGCAACCTCCAGGAGGGAGCTCTAAATCTTGAATCACGACAGATTTTGGCGAAGACATATTCAGTTATTAGGTGTATACGTTTGCCTTTCAACCTTATTTCAAAGAACTATTGCTGATCTGTTCAGTTTCAAGCTAAATTTGCTCTAGTTTGCCTCGATTTTCTCAGTTCTGTTCATGTGAACACTTAATGAACAAAATTTCCCTTTACTCCCCGACACCCCTCATTAAATGATTCCTAGACAGACAAATGTAATAGACCTATTCTTCACAATGCACATGTATGTTTACTGAAAGCAGCTTTAAAGTAAAACTGAATTTTAAATTAAGCCTGGGAAATAATATCAATCAGCTTTGATCAAATCTCAGGGACTGGGTAAAGGTGTTAACAGGGATGGCTTACCATGAAAAATTAATTGACTTTTTTTTGTGTGTCTTTTGGTTTTTCATTTTATTTTGTGTTGTTTAAACTATAAACTTTGCTGCCTTTGTTTGTTTGATTTCTGTTGTGCCAAAGACTGACTCTTAACTTGAAGAAAAAAAAGTTTGCATGGTTTTCAATAATTATGCTTTCCTGTGATTTCTCTTTACAGCCAGTGTTGTATTCTTATTTCCGAAGTTCTTGCTCGTGGAGAGTTAGGACTGGTATGTCATGACAGTGTTTTTCAGATTGCCTTATTTGATATCGTCAGCTACATCAGATGATAACTGGGTTTGGTCAAGGTCAATAATATTTGGGGCATGAAAGAAGTTGGAGCATAATTAATAGTTTGACTGAGTGTTGAACATCCAATTTTTCAAATAAGAATGTTACATCCAGAACATTGTGGCTGAACAAGAAAGCTACTAAAATTTTGGGATGCTCTTAAAAAGTTATTGCATAATTGATCTACCCAGATTGGCACAGGCACAAGTTCAAGAAGGTTGTATTTAAATATTCCAGTATTTTTTAAATTTTTTTTCATGAAAGAGCAAAATATAAAAAATTCAGTTTCCTCAATGTTTTAACAAAAAGAAATAATAAATGACAGAGTGACCTAAAATGAAACATAGGCCAAGCATTATTTCCCAAGTCTTTCAACTTAAAACGTTTGCAAAATAGATGCCAACTGCCTACTTTTATGATTATGCAAATAATACAAGGCTTCTTGTGAAACTCAGTAATGCTACTATTGTGTTTCTTTAGCTCTTGCCATAAAAGAAATTGATTATGACACACATGCTGTTCACCTGCTGAAAGATGGAGGCCAGCAAGTAAGTTTTTACAAATGTCTTTGATTGGCTCTTTAATTTTGAGTGTTCACACAAATGAGGTGGACACACAACATGATATGATATGATATTTTTTGTTAAGATATCAAAGCACAGTACTTCTCCCCACTCTATCAGTACAATATTAAGCAGACAAGTAGTGAGAATAAAGAAAAATATCAACTAGGGGATTATTGGTCGATCCAATTCCAAATTCTCCAAACTAATGTTATATGAATTGTATGGCAGAAAGTAAGGGGAATTACTAAAGATATCTTGGGAGTTAAAACGTTAATTAAAAATTTTGTATATATGATTATTTATGCATCTGTGTGGCGGGCTTCAGACACAGAGAAAAGGCTGTCATGTTGATAGGACCTTTAAGTTTGCAACTGATTCAGCAAATTTAGACATATTAAAAAGAGGAGTTACCAGTGTCCATTACAATAGAATAACCTTACATGAGATAAAATATGGTTAACTTTGTTATTTATATGTGCAAAAATTATGATTGTTCTTATAAAGTTTTCAGATGAGTTTAAAAAGTTAAATCCCATGGGCTATGTTCCTGCTCTGGTTATAGATGGACACACCCTTGCTGACTCAGTAAGTGTGGAATCTTTGCATTTGGGTAGTGGTAGTCTGTGAAGGAAGCCTCATGAAATTCTGATGAAAGGGGGAGGGGCAATTTTCCATGGACTAGGATCTCATCCAGGGGGGAGTAGAAATACTCCTAGTCATGATTAGGAGTGCACTGGATGAGTTATTCCATCCATAGTTACCTTCTCTTCCTTCAATTAGTTTGGCAGGTACACTTTGTCAAACAACCCATGCATTGGAGATCCTGATAATTGCGAGATGCAGAGGAAAAAAAAATACAGAAGTGATTAAACGAACATTAAGCTTAGGGTCTAATGGATCATGTTCAATTTTGCAGCTGAGCATAATAGAGTATCTGGATGAAACAAGACCTGATCCCCCCCTGCTACCCAGAGGTGACCCATTCAAGAAAGCACTGGTATGAAGTTATTCTCTGTTTTTGGAATATAGAAAATTCTACCATCAATGTCCTCAGATTTGAAGCTGAATTACAAGTAGTCATATATACATGATCTAATTTGGAGCAATTTTCGAAAGTAATCTTGGATGCTAAATGTTTTCTGCTTTACTTTGCTCTGTGATCAGTCTAGGAAACTTTCACCACCTTCTCAAACGATGATGTTCAAAACTAAAATCAATCAAAACTTGGTTGCCAGCATTTTCTTGCATTTCAGGCAGTTTGGTTGGTTTAGTGTTGACGTCTTCTTGGCTCTGAAAAGTATTCTTCTCTCTTCTGATTGGGCATTCATCGGGTGGTGATGACTTTGGTTTTAGTTTTATTAATGGTACTCAATTTAAAAGCACTCTAGTTAGATTGAAATTATCAAATTTAATTCGTGGAAAATCTTTCAGGTGAGGCAAGTGAGCCAAACTATAGCCAGTGGAATACAACCAATCCAGAATCTTTCTGTCCTGAAGTATCTTGGCGACGAGAGAAAAGCAGAGTGGGGACATCATTGGATAAACAAAGGATTTCATAGTGAGTTAGCACATTCATTGAGTGACTTCCCCCTATAATAGAGGCTACGGTATGCAGCAAGTTAAATTAATTGCCTTCTGTTTTCCTGCAGCACTTTTTTACACTTTTCAATTCAAAGTGATAATAGTTGTGTGAGCTGTGAACAGGAGATTCTTACTTTTTTTAAAATTTCTTGATGTTGAGTGAAAGGTGAGCAAGATTAGAGCCAAATTTTCCTCAGTGCGCTTTTGTCATGGGTATGATCCTTTAACTTGGTACTGATTGAGAGGAGAAGCTTCTCTGCAGCAGATTACCCACAATCAGCCAATACATGTAGATGGGCACAAAGCTCACTAGGCTATCTGGTTCATGTGCACTGCAACCTTCCCCTACCCCTCCCCCTCTCCTTCCCTCTTCTCCCCTCCCCACTCCTCCACACTTAAAAAATATTAAATCAGATATGGGTCTCATTCAATTGTGCAGTTTAATCATAAACCCTTTTAATTAGCTCCTAAGAGTGACTAGAATCTAATTTCTCACAATGTCACCCCTGAATCAAATTTTATGGTCACCGGAATAAAGGAAATGATCACCAACTAAAGAAGCTCTTGATTGTTAACCAAATTCTCCTTGCCAGCACCTTCGGAATTGTATAGAGAACAGTACTGAGAATATACAGAATGCTGTTAGATTATAAAGGGTTAAATATTAATCATCTTGACTAACAGATCTGGAGAAAATCTTGGAAAGGACATCAGGGAAGTATTGTGTTGGAGATGAGGTAACTATCAATAAGAAATATGTTTCTTTAATAGGTAATATAATTACTGTTACAAATGTGCACTCTTTATAATAAGTAGTCTGTTAAGCATATCTGTAATTAATTGCTTATCATTTTCAACTTGGCAGATATCAATGGCTGACTTATGCCTGGTTCCTCAGGTGTACAATGCAAACAGGTAAACCAGTTGTTTGAAGGCTGATTAGGGCCAACCTAGGGTTAAATTTTAATCTGGGTTTCTTTATCCCTTTGTTCAAAAGACTTTCTTGGATAATTTTCTATAATTATTTTCTATTTGAAAGGCATCCAGTTATCAACCGTAGACAAATAACAGTTATCTTAACCCAGCTTTGAACAACCCGGCCCAGGGCTCTTATTTCATATTTAGGTCAGGATGGGGGGCAATTTTTTTGAGGGAAGGAGCTGGGTAAGAGCTTTTTTGAGGGAGGCACTTATTCCCTTTTCCCCAAATCTTGAACAGACATGATTTCTTTTTCTTGCTAGAGAACATTTACACATTAACAACAAAATAATTGGTGTGTTAATATACAGTAGCTGACCCCAGAGAGTTGTTACTCAAAGTTATTTTTCCAAGCCTAACTTGTTCACAAAGTGAAAGAATAATGTTGAATGGGCAAGCTAATTTCAAAATTAAGCACTTTAATATTTCAACAAATGTAATCATTTTTGTAAAGGAAAGGAAAGAGGGAAAGATGTGAGCATGATTCGAGCAGAGGCAGTAATTTTGAGGTTGTGCAGAGGGTGGACCAAGATTGCGCTCTTGAACTTATCACATCTGTGTTGTCACTGGCTTCCTATGAATTATACTCTTCTCACAACTTTTTGAGGGGATGGGAGTGGATGGACAGGGCAATTTTTTGAGCAGAAGGGGGTGGATGGACATAGGCAATTTTTTTAAGGGGATAGGGGTGGATGGACATGGTAATTTTTTTAAGTGGATGGGGGTGGATAGACAAGATAACCTTTTTCAAGAGGATGGGGTTGGGTAGACAGGGTAATTTTTTAAGGGAATGGGGATGTATGGACAGGGTAATATTTTAGGGGTATGGGGG